CTCAAACAATCACTCTTATTTCTTGCATGCAGGGTATAACCAAGTAAGGCACGAGAGAAGGCGAATCAATAAATATAGAACTAAAATACTTGTATGCCATTCATGAACTTGTGGGATACACAGGCCCCCCAAGCATCTGAATGTCCAAGTCAAATGCATGAGAACTTCTATGAGCAGAATTAGCATAAGAGCTTTCTAGTAAGGCTTTCCAAACTGCACATGCATCACACACAAGTGTTCTTGTTTTTTATTTGCTTTCCTGCAAATAAAGAATGATACAATCTACCTAAAAACACTAAAGATGAGTGTCCAAACGCTGGTGATGAAGCATTAACTCATGTTTCAGGGGCACTCATTTTATATCCTACTCCTGGCTTCTCTATTTGACGTGAGGAATCATGCTGAATCCAGCCCTTCACGATCATGATAGCGCACAGTCCACTACGGCCATGTGGCCAGTCCCAAGTCTCCGCCGCTGTCCCTTCTCCTGGAAAAATCAAAAACTTGGGAAATATCAAAAGAAACAATGCATTTTATTTGGAGTATAATAGAACTAATGGACAAAGATTTGACTGGAAAGGAAGGAGCATGCAAAACATTGGACAAGTTAGGCAAGAAGAACAGTACAATCGACTGTAGCAGCTTACCAACGCACCGGCTGAAACGTACCATCAGCTGTTTGAATACTATCAGGCGATGCTAAGTGGTTTATGATGATAACTCACCATAGCATTACCTGTCACATGACGAGACGCACGCGGAGTCGACTATCCACTCATGATGATCTGTCGGGAGAGCATAGAAGGCTAGAGGCTGTATAGTCATGCAGTACCGTGTTGGTCGGATGAGCATGTAGGTAGCAGTGTTGGCCTCTGGCGAAGAACGAAGTGGAATTGCCTCCGTAGTCCCACTCTCAATCCTGCCACTCACTGGCTATTTTGCTGTTTTTTTTCTAAAGTGATCGTGAAGGAGAGCACGATCACTCCTGCTGTTAAAAACGCAGACCCCAGCTTCTTCTTCTTCTGGCTACTTGTCAGATTCGCCCGATTTTCCTGCTCACTCTTGCCACCGTCGTCGACGGTAGGTGCCCACGTGTCTAGCTCAGCACGACCACGGACGCTCCGAACTTTGCGCCACGTCCACCCGAATCTCTCTTTGGATGGCTTGGTGCACGCTGCGCTCAGATGACCCCATCCGCAACCGCAGTTGTAACACTGGTCGGGTCTCTCACGCCTAAGATTGCCAGTGTTGCTAAAGGCTGCCAGTTGCTGGACTTCACATCAGGAAGTCGCGACATGTCGCGCGCCTGCGCCGAATGCGAGTCTCCTTCCTGGATCATAGCAGACAGCAGCCTCGCCTCAAGTGTCTGGGAACTTTGGCTGAGCTAGCAGCAATGCGATTCGGCGTGAGGATACTCTGATGTCAATCCATTATAAGAAATACGGCATAAGTCCTGCTCTTGTAGAAAGGCCTCCGCTCTTTAGCATCTCGGGTCTTGCAGTTAGCGGTCCGGGGAGAAAATGATGCATAATCCAGCCCACAGAAGGGAGTCCCACATTAGAACTTTCTAGTTGCTTCACAGCATTGCGTTCTTGACGAGCCGCTCCGAGGCGTGGTCGTGTTCCCCTTAATGCGGTCCTAGCGTGAATTTCAGTTGACTAAGACGAATGTGCAAGCGTCTTCAGAGTACGGTTTGCCTTGGTCTCCGCTCGCCTGTGCCCACCACCGGTCGGCCTCAGGGGCCCCGGGCCAAGTGTCAGGCACCATGACTTGCAGGCTACATATTTTTCATCATCCAAGGTCATCCCTTTCCAGCTCTGTAGTATTCTCTTGTACAGTCGCTCTGCTCCCTGGAACTGTGGGCGTCGATCTCTCCTTTAATCTGGAATATCCCTCGCAGGTTATTGCCCCACTCCAATCAATATGTCGCTCGACTCAACTTCATGCCAGAGCGTCTTTCACACTTCTGCCATGCCATCTACGACGTGGCGGCGATGCATGCTCGGACGGCAACGAGTTGAGAAGGCCATGATGTAGCACAACATATGAGTGGGACTTCCACTATGCTTTCGCTTCCGGAGTTCTCCTCCGGTTGCTGTCGGCCTCTCCTGTCAAGTAGCGGCCTCGCAGCGTTCCTCCATGCAAGGGTGTATTCACGCCGCGCGCGACCCAGCTGCAGGTAGTACTGCGGTCCATCAAGGCTTCAGATCGATGGTCGGAAGCTCGCCAATTTCTTTGATGGTTTTGTCGCACTCTCACTAGCGCGACAACTTCAATTAGCTTCATCAAGTTGATACCTCCGCGGGGTTCAACTTCTTGATGATCTCCTCCCATCGAATAGGCTTCAGACGCCACCAACCTGTTCACGACTTCTCTTCCACCCTTGTGTGTGGTGCCAGTAAATAATTTCGCAGCATCGAGATCACCTCTGCCACACAACAAGAGTAGGATCTCAAAGCAAATTCTCATTTCTCAGAGGAAACAAGAACCAAAAACAGTTATATATCTCATCGATGTGAGATATAATAACTCTTCTTGTGCCATCAGTTCGAGACTGGCGAGTGCGAGGAACGGCCATGCCAAACTCCTAGTCGGCATAGCGCAGCAGGGGGGCTCCCGAGGTGGCAGCGGCTCGACAGGGTTTGGAGGTGGGAGCGGCCTAGAGGGTTGGGGGGTCAGGGGTTGGTCTGCGGTCAGGTCTTGGTAAGTGGGACAGGCTGTTTTGGCGATGGGGGTTTTGCGTGTGGTCTGCGGACAGGAGGGAGATCAGGGGCTGTTTTGGGCGTGGTTTCGTTGGGTGGTCTAGGGGGGTCGGAAGTGGGTGGGTGGGGGGGTCTGGGTTTGGCCTCGGACAGGAGGGAGATCAGGGGGGGTCGGGGGTCTGGATGATCGAAAGGGGGCTGTTTTTGGGGGTCGGGGGGTCGCTTGACAGAGGGGTCAGGGTTCTCGGCGATGGGTGGAGTGGGGCGGCTCTGAACGAGGGGAAAAAAGGTGGGGGGGTGGGGCAGCCGGGTGAGAAGGGAGGGGAGTGTGGGGGGCGGCGCTAGGGTTTTGTGCTCTGATACCATAAAGAATGTGAAAAGCCCTAATTTATTATGAGATCTCTTGGGCTTTAATATAGGCCCCTACAACAACTTAGCAAATAAATCCCTAACTAATATTAATATGTCAACAAGACAAACAAGGTCTGCCTGCAGATTGTTGCTGGGCTCATATTTCTTTGATGTGAAATAAAAAGTGAAGAATAAGATATAAGCGTCGATGGCAGCATTTTTTTCGGCACGTGGAATCCAATATCCGCGAAGCTTTAAGAGGGTGAGTTTGTAAAATGGAGCCTGCTATTAATGGGCAAGTTAAAGCTAAACTTCGACGTTGGGAGCTGCTGCGTATGTTTTCAGCGAATCAACTGGCTTGAATGACTAAAATCGTGTGTAGTTGAAGAGCGGTGTAGATACTGGCAGCCTTAAGGCGTGATAGTTTCGCTTTCTGCTCAAATTGTATGATTTTCTGGAATTTACACCTTATATAGATATAAAGGTTTTTATACATAACCAGCTTGCCAGGTTGCTAAATGTATTGCATCGGAATGCAATTAATTGCGTTTACTCTAATGGCATGTACGTAGAGTTTGTAAGGGACTAATATGGACCATAAACGGAAGACAGGAGGGTGTCCGCTCTCTTATTTGATAATGAGTTTGCATCATTAATGATGACCAACTCATTATCCAATAGGAGGGGGACAACTCTACTTATTCGCCTATTGTATCCTATATTTTTGGGTCCTAAAGAATTTTTCATGTAGCGTACTCTCCGGTGCTGTACTCACGTTTAAAAAGACACTGGCTATTGCATTTATCGATTGCATCAGAGTTTTGAGAAGGGATTCAGATATTCCGATGCCGATATCAGCTGAGCTTGGTGCCTTGTGAGAGGACTTTGTTGATTAATTCCCATTCCCCATAATAGTTTTGGGGTTTGTCTTTTGGGCTCAATATATTTACCACTAATTTATATCTTTAGAACTTTAACTTTTTTGCTTAGCAACTAAAAGCAATTAATCTTTATGTATTTATCTCTACACCATAGTTTCCAAAACAGTAGCATAAGTATGAGGGTTCTGCTTAAAATAGAAAAAAAATGAATTTAACACGCACGCTGATCTCCCTATTCTTGTATATTCTGCCTATACCGGAACCCCCCCCCTCCCCCCCCGCAGAGACAGGAGGAGATAGGTGGGCTTTTAATCTATCTTGTCTTCTTTAATGTTTCCACTCTTATGAACCCATCAATAACTTATCTACCCCATTAATGCTTAGGTTTTGATTACACAACTCCTAAATTTGTAGCACTAATTTCTCATTTTCTTAATCAAAATTATTTCACATTATTATTCATGAATTCTCATAGTTGTTTATTACATTTAATACAAAATAATAATGAACAAAAAAAGTTTAAAATCAAAATGTTAACTTTAGTTTTAGAATTATGATTTAATTTCAGAATTATAATTTTAATTTCAAAATTTTGATTTTAATTTATTGTGAGAGAAAATTTTATATATTGTTAAACGTCTTGTAAGTTGACTATCTTTGATAAGATTTACAGAAATTTATTTATTTTTGGTGACAAACAGAGATGAATGAAGATTTGTACTGAACGTTGATGGATTTTAAAGCAAACAATCACTTTTTTAAATTTATGTCAATGGAATTTACAATGATTTAGTGCTCGATGTGCAAAATCTAATTGCTTGCAGTGCAAACAAGATGCGCTTAACTTACAAAGTCCCACACACAAAAGAAGTTTTTTGTGTGTGTATGTAATGATGATAACGTCTTGATATATAATGTTAATGTACATTGAAGTTGCATGGAGAATATAGTTATTATGAATGTCAAGATGAGGATGTAATCCAAATAGTGTGTTCAGTATAATTGTACTTGTTTGTTCTAATTACATGATATACTTTTAGAATAACATGCTATATTTCCAAAATCTATCTACCCTTTAAAAGAGGGAGTTCATGAAAAACTTTTCCCTTCCCAAACTAACCTTCAACTAATTTAAATATTCCAAACTTATCCTTATAATAATTAAACAGATTTCATCTTTATCATCGTAAATCCAAAGACCTAAGATTTCCGTCGGTTACGCCTTCCTCTCCGCCCACCGGTTCATACACGATCTTAACCCTTCAATTTCCAAAGATGATTATTATTGCCCTAATCTCCGACCTCCTCCGCCATGTCCCTCATCATCGTCCCCAGATCCGACGCCCAGCTCCTCCCCTCGTCATCGTCGTCGCCACATCGACGCCCAGCTACTAGGCAGCGGAATTAGGAAAAAATGAATGGATCTTGTGAGGGTCGGCAGCGAAAATCGGTGAGCGAATTAGGAAACCTCTCACGGAAAATCTTTCTTATTTTATTAGGGTTTTATAAAGTTGTTTTGAGTTTCCTAACTTGTTAAATAAATAAAAAAACCTAAAAGTCAAAAACAAAAATTCCCCTTTCGCTTATTGGAGCTGCTTGATTTCTTGAAAGCCAGTTTGCCCCAAAAATACGAACATTTAAAGCATCTCTTGTTACAGTTCGATAATGAGGAGGCACAGTCCGGCGTATTATAGCCCCCCGCGAAGAGGTTATGGTGGTAGAGGAAGAAGTCCACCAAGGAGGAATTACGGTGGCGGCGGCGGGCACAGGGAATCTGGTCAGAGTCTTTTGGTTAGAAACATTCCCCTAAATTACAGGTAAAGATTCTTCCTTTGATGTTTGTAGTTGGTTTTGCTTTGTTATACGAAAGGTTGATAGTGGTTGTATATTTGTCCTTGCATATTTAGACAATTTTGTTTTCTTGTCTACAGAGCGGAGGACCTCCGCGCCCCATTTGAAAGGTTTGGGCGAGTAAGGGATGTTTATTTACCGAAGGATTATTATTTTGGGTGAGTTCTTAGTGGTTGATGTTTAGGCCTTGATGATTAAGGATGTGAATGTTCCTTTTTAATGTATAGTTCATCTCTCTTATGATTTCTGATTCGACGTAGTTCAGTTGAATTCTTGAGATTACGAATAAGAAAACCCTTGTCATGGTTAGCGTTTACCTAAGTCCTGAAGAAGGCTGGAGGTGGTCTTAACCTACTGCTACACCTGAATGGTTTTATGTTTTATCTGAGAATGCTTTCTTTGAGATATAGGAAAAAGGTTTATATTACACCATTAAAGTAGGATTTGCAAGAGGCGTAGGCATAAGGTACGCGTGTCATATGATAATTTTTGTGAAGAGCAAGCTATCAGTATTTGGTTATTTTCCTCTATTAGTGGATGGAAAAGGAGCGATCAGTTCATCTGGAATGTTCCCCATTGTGTGGTATAATTATAAACACAACTGCAAAAGTGATGGTGTTTTCTTTGTGAATTATTTTCAGTACTGCAATCAACGAAGGGCAAGTTCTGAGGGATGCATGGTAGTGTAATATGTAAGAGATTCATTTGTAGATATAAGTTTATGTGAACGTTGGCTTCCAAATACATGGAATTATGATCAACAGTCTCAAAGTTTAGAGTATCTTGCAGAGTGCAAGAGAAGCTGGTGCACAACATTATGACAAAAAAAAAGAACCAAATTAGTAAATTATGCTCATGTAGAGTTTTTAATGTTATTTTGGTGATTTCAAG